ACACACAGACTGCTGAGTCCATACACACAGACTGCTGAGTCCATACACACACATACAGACTGCTGAGTCCATACACACAAACACAGACTGCTGAGTCCATACACACAGACTGTTGAGTCCATACTCACAGACAGACTGCTGAGTCCATACACACACACACACACACACACACACACACACACACAGACTGCTGAGTCCATACAGTGTGTGTGTGTATGGGGATAGTGTATGTGTGTAGAGTGTATGTGTATGGGGGGCAGTGTGTGGGACAATGTGTGTGTATGGGGAACAGTGTGTGGGGCAATGTGTGTGTGTGGGGCAATGTGTGTGTGTGGGGCTTCGTTTGGGGGCGGAGCCTGTGCCGGGGAGCCAATCAGTGCTCCCTCCGGCTACAGACAGCCCCCAGCACCTCTCTCCTGCATTCCCTCGGGCTGTTACAGTCGAGGGAAGCCCATGGCCAGCAAGTTGCCGGCATTTGGGGGGGCCCAAGGGGGGGCACAGCATGATGTAGGGGGGGCCATGGCCCCCTCTGGCCCCCCCCTAGCGACGCCACTGTATACATTGTGTAAATGTCTTAAAGGGATGCTATAGTCATATGCAGCCCAAGGCACACCTCACCTGGCTGTGACTCTCACAGCCTTCATGAAAACAAAATGGTTTTACTTTAAATCCCATAGTAACTTGTTTTAATAATTTTTATCTCCTGCTCTCTAAATTAAACTTTAATCGCATACTGGAGGCTCCTGAAGGGGTCTAGCAAACAATTGGATAATTTGCTATAAAGGAAGTGTAATGTAAACATTAGATGACTCTTTACAGGAAGTGTTTAGGAACGCTGTGTAAGTCACATGCAGGGAGGTATAACTGCATAAACAAAGTGATTTAACTTCTAAATGGCAGATAATTGAGCTGTTAGACTGCAGGGGCACGGTCTAAACACCAAAACCACTTCATTAAGCTAAAGTGGTTTTGGTGACTATAGTGTCCCTTTTTAAAGCTGGGAAAAAGTTATGAGTGAAATATTTTACTGGTAGCAAAATTTTCAATTTTTAATACCCCTTGCCATAAACATTTAATCGGCACTACACCCCTTTTATCACACTACTGATCTATATGTCATGTTTTGTTTTTTCTTCTAAAATGCTTTTACTGAAATGTCTGGTGCATATAACTATATGTGTGTACTTTCCTGGCTCCGTTTCTTTAGATTGCATTGTCTGTGTTCAAGGAACGGAAGAATGGTAATCTCACTTAAACAATGGTCACTAATTAAAGGGTTTGGTTGCAATGGAGACAGCCCTGAACCAGTGTGTTGAACATTCTAAAGGAATGGTGGGGATAAGCACACTTTTCCAGATGCCTTGAAGTCTACTCTGTAGACCAAGAGCTTTCAAGTGAATGGTGTCCAGTCCTCAAGGCCACTAACAGTTCTTCTATGGTGATACAGGCAAAACCCAGATCATTGTGTGTACCTTTTATCAGTGGGTTGGGAACCTTTGGCCTACACTTCAAGTATTCTTATAATACACAGCGCATTGTTTTTAGGAATTATTAGGAAGACTGTTACATTTGGATCATCCCTTCCTCAATTAATCAGAATGCTGATTGATCCACTCCTTGCATACTCTCTATCAGGGTTCCCTGCTTTAATATCAAACCGTTTAGGAACAGTGTGCTATAAGTGAAGTGTTTTCCTACTACCTTAAGACCCCTCTCCTCCCCATCCCAGCCACATTGATAATTAAGAATACACATTTATTTATAAAACATTTTACCACTTCCACATTATCAATGTCCATTTAATCCAACATCGAGAACTAATTGGTGGAGAGTGCTGAAGGTGTTAGCCGTGCACTTTCATACCATCAATGCTGTCTATATTGAACATAGATGTTGTTAATGCCAAAGTGTTAATTCCCCATCATCAATGTGGTTGTAATGGGGGACAGCCCCGACACCGAAAAGACGACTGTTTCTATCAGGCTGCTCTTAAAGAAATATTATAGGGTCAGGAACACAAATGTACTCCTGACCCTATAGTGTTAAAAACTCGATCTGGCCCCCTTAAATATAGTAAATTCTTACCATGTATTCCTGACTGATGGAGCTCGCCATTCCTTAGCTGACATCAGAATTGATGATCTAAGCCAATCACAATTCTGATGATTTCAGCCAAGGATGCTGGCTGGGGGCAGAACCAAACACATTTTGCTTTGAATCCATGCATCTCTGAGGAAAGTTCAGAATCTGCATGCATAGGGTAGAGACACTGAATGTCAGTGCAGCACTGCCCCAGGAAGCACCTTTGTAGCCACCTGAGTGGCCACTGGAGGTATCCCTAGGTGTAATGTAAACACTCTCTGAAAAAAAACCATGTTTACTCCAAAAAGCCTGAAGGGAATGATTCTACTCACCAGAGCAAATACAATAAGCTGTAGTTGTTCTGGTGACTCTGGTGTCCCTTCCTGTTATCTCAGTAAACTAGGGGACAGTGCCAAAGTTGTGGTTATTACAGTGGTCCTTTAAGCAAATGCCAAGTTAAAATCAATTTGTAAAATTAATGCATGCTCCAAAAGTGGTGTGAGGGTCTCATTTTCTGTAAATAGAGTTAGAGGTAACTCTGTAGTTAATGTCCCTATATAGCAGGCTAAAATGGTCTCATTGATTGGCTCACACTGCATGCATGACTGGAGAATGGGCTACCATTTATCTTCAGCAAATTTTGATAAATTCTTTGTCTGTAATGGGACAGGAATATTATTAGAGCAAAAAGCTGAGATCTGCTCATCAGACAATTTGTAAACTTTGATGTATGAGGAGTGTCTAAATGGGAAACTGTATTGTTTTTAATGTATGTTTGGTACATGATTGCTAGGAAACAATCATCAGATTTTTTTTTCTCCCTGTTCATTATAAATAGGATCTTAAATGATTAGCTAAAGGTGATTTAGGTTAGTTTTTCTCAAAGCACCATGACCCCTTCATTGATTTTATGAAAACACTGTTTTTTGGTTGTAGTTACTCATTAAGTGAAGGAAATTATTTTACATTTTTTGGGGGCTCAGAATCAAAGTGCTTCTGCTTTTTTTTCTGGTAACAGATCTGTTAAGAGTATTCCTTTTATCTGATATCTGTCTTTCGTGTGTGTGTGATTATGTGTTTTTGTATGTGTTGTGTGTTATAACTTGCCTCCTGGCTTTGTTTAGGATGTTTGGATGGGGACGGGTTTAATTACTCATTCCAGGCAATAAGGCTTACAAATGTGCTTAGCAACCGTGGTTGTGTATTTTTCATGACTCAAATGACTTACCACACTTTACGTTAACCGCTTAAGGGCCAAACTTCTGGAATAAAAGGAAATCATGACATGTATC